TGCTGGAGCCTCCCCACCCCACCCCCTCCGCTCCTCAGCTCCTCCCCTTCAGGCTGCCCTGCCGGACTCTGGAACTGACACCCACCAGAGAGAGGAGAAATCCCAACATCTGAAGACCTTACCCCAGTGGCTTCTTGCCCACCCACGAGGCTATGGGGACCCCTTGAAACACCCTGTGGTGCCATCCCCAGCGGAGGTGGCTGAGGGAGCCCATGCTCCTTGAGCCCGACCATGGTGTCCCTTCTCCGCTGCTGTGCATGCCAGAACACCCACAGACTGAGGCCCCTCCATTAAAACCCAGTTTCTCAGTCATTTCTGTTGCTCTAGCTGTGAGCGCTCGGGAGGAAGGGAATTGGGGAGTCTGTGAAGAGAGGGTTTGCTGGGTCCCTGGCACTCTGACAAGTCTGGGAGCCCGGGTCAGAAGCGGGGCCAAGGGCTCGGCTCACCCCAGTCCCAGTCTCTGCATCAAAGGCATCCCCAGCTGCCCCTCCCCAGCCAGGAGGCTCAGCCCACCACAGCCCTGATCCAAGACGGCTGTTCTGAAGACAGACCCAGCCAGCCCCAACTCAGGTCATCCAGATGGGCTGTCCCCTCGGGGGGAGCCCCTGGCCTGATGCCACATGCCTGCCCTTCCCTTCCCTGGCGCTGTGAGATAAGCAGCCAACTGCTAACTGCAGTGTCGGTGGTTTGAACCCTCCAGCTGCTCTGGGGGAGAAAGATGCTCCCGTAAAGATGGACGGTTTCAGAAACTGTATAGAGTCGCTGAGTCAGAAATGACTCGATGATAGTCATTTTGGGTTTCGGAGTTCTTGCTTTGCAGACCTGGCTCAGCTTTCCCCGGTGCCCACCGGATGTCCTTTGAGAGGCCAGGGCTCTTTCAACCCCTTACCCCATCCAGTAACCGCAGACAGCATTGCTATGGGCCCCAATCCAGTGTGACGCCCTGCAGTTCCAAGCCCTGACCACCAGGTGGCTCCTCCTTTGTCTGGGTTTTCCCCACATTCCCTGTGCCAGCTCTCTCCACCCACCTTCATTCAGTGTCCCAAGCCTTCCCCATCACCTCCTTGACTAGCCATGGCCCCGAACCCAACTCTTCCCCTAAGTTGGGGCAGCCAGATGGCCGGCCCTCCATCCCACTGATGTATGCTAGGGGCTCAAGCCTGCTGGGGTTCAGTGAAGGAACTGGAGCCCTCCCAGCCCCCTGCAGAAACACACAAGGAGGGAGAGTGGTGTCTGAGGAACAGAGACCCAAGTTCCCACTTGGAGGGGAAGGTGACTTTCAGTGTGATGGTGACTTCCTGAGCTCACCCTATAAGGCAGTGGGGGGGGGGGGGGAGCCCAGCCCTGGACCCTCCCTCCGCCTCTTGGCCTCCCAGCCCCGCACCCAGGAGAGGCTGAGCTCTCTTAACAGCCCCTTCCACCACCCCTGCTGTGTCCCCGTCCTGCCCTCTGCTCCCAGTACATTATCTGCAGTAAATACTATGGTTCAAAGGGCAGTGCCAGAGACTCAGGGCACGGCGTGGCACCCAGGACCATTCAGCCTGCCAGCCCCTTCCAAGGACCATGGTAGGGGGGG